TTGTCGGGGACAGTGGAACTGTGGCTGAGGAACTGGCTCTCCAAGTGTCTTCAGAAGAGTGTCCTGGTCACCTTAAAGAGACTTCCCTTTCTGGAATCAAGGTGACTTGGCTTGCTCTTGAAACTGGATTCAAAGTAACTGTTAAACCCTAAATCTTTATTTTCACCCCAGATCTGGTTGAGTATAAACCTCAGAATCTTAAGGGCTGGCCTGAGCTATTTATTTCAGAAGAAACTATTTGATTGAAAGCTATTTTTCCTCAAAGTTTTTTTTCTATATATTAAGCTGAAATTAAGTTTTGTATTCATTAAGATTAACATCCCTCTCCCCACTCCACACCTACTGAAATTTGTGGAAGAAAATTTAGTATTTGGCTCTGAGGTTGCTAGTTATACAATAATCTATTTTGCATATGAAAGTTTGTATTTAACTTTTGTTCATTAAAAACCTTACAGATGTGGTTATGCATTTTTAATTTCAGAAAGTTTAGAGTTGGTTACAACATTTTGCAAAATTAGTGCCTAGTGTTATTTTCTGGTGTAATAAAGGGTTTTCTGGAGAGCCTGGAAGTATAGCCCGCAGTAGTTTCTAACCCTTTGCCTGCTGAAGTCGCCCAGACTTGTGCTGGCGCATAGAAGCGAAGGTACAAGTGGGCCACGTGACTTGAGTCTCCCCGGGTCTGCACATCTGGCATCAGAGGCCAGGCTGCCGGTGGCTGAGGCCCACTGTTCAGCTATCTCAGCCGTTGCCCCGACACTTGTTGGTGTCGGTGTCTTGGGCGAGGACTCGGGCCATGATGTGGGGTTCAAGGCTGGGCCTGCTTGCTGGCCAGTCCAGAGGCCATGTGGTCAGGTGTTGATTAAAGGGCGAGGGTTGTGCTAAATTGCCTCGGGCTCAGGCAGAACAGAGAACCCTTCCCCGGCCTGTTTCCCCTGGGGCTCCTGAGCCGTGGGAGTGGGTACTGGAGCAGGCAGCTGGCGTAGCCAGAAAGGGCCTGAGGCTTACAGGGACTGTCTTACACTGAAAATATGTCCCACTGGGTGCCAGGGGGTTTTCCTTGACGATTAGCACCTTAGGTGAGACTGAGGAACAGCCGTGTGTAGTCTGCCCTGAGGAGTGACTGAGGGTTAACGTGCTATTCTGGTATTCGAGGGCCTTAAGAGCAGCTTGCCCGGAGCTCTCGGTAAAGCCTGCGCTCTAGGTTAGCTTTGGTCGTCTCCCAGGGCACGGGGAGACGGGTAGAGTGCAGTGTTCGCCTAGCATCTGGCACTCTGCTTTGCCCTGGGTCCCTGCCCTGAGCATGGGGCCCACAGCCGTGCCCCTCTAGCACTGACCTGTCTCCCTCGGTGCAGAGACGCTTGGTGGTGGTAGAATTTCTAGAGCCAAACAGGGTATGAGAAAAGTGTTCAGGTGAGAAAAGCCGCTCGCTCACACAGCAGGTTTACAGTAAAGCCAGTATTTTTTTTAATTGCAGTAGTTTGTGGGTCTAAAAAAGGTACAGTGAACCATTGTTCTTTCCTAGTAGATCATCTATTAAAAATGGATAGATTTAAAAAGTACATGCTGTCGGTGAGCGAGTCTTTCTTGTGCTTGACCTTGCAGCAGAGCTGGGATGGGGCAGGAGGGAAACAGGCCGGGGGCATGTGGGGGATGATGTTCTCAGCCCCATATTTTGCCTCTGCCCCTCTGGAACGCCTGCACCTTGAGGAGCTGGGCACTGGGTTGAAGTGTGGGTGTGGGAAGGAGCACTCCTGGAGAAGCAGAGAAGCCACGACAAGGAAGGGAGCGCATGGAGAAGTCCGTGACCACTGTAGTGCTGGTGCTGCCGCTGCAGTTAGGCCGCAGCGCTCACACGGGCCTCCGTGACCTCACCGGAAACCTGACTCTAGCAGAGAAGAGCTCTAAGCAGCTGATGTCCAGACAGACTTTGGGTGCTCACCTCACCTGTAAGTTGGATACCTAGCCAGCCGTATTGCTTTAGTAATTTTCCCTTTTAATTTACCTAATATATACAAGGGTGGGGGTTGGGTATATTGGAATAGGAGTTGATTTTACCCATCAATAAATTCATCTCTTTAATTCAATGACTTTCAAATGGTTTCGATTATACTTGTAGTAAGTGTGTTTTGTGTTGTAACCAGTGCCTACGTGCACACACACGGACGCACTTGTGTATATAGTTTGTGATTATATGTGGACGCGTGTCACAAAACAATACTTATCCTTGCAGTACCAATAGTTGTGTTTCAGTTTTTTAGAAGAATATGGGTTGTGAGCACCAAGCTGATTTCTCTGCCCACTAGTGGAAACACTGCTAGGCCAGCCTGTGGTGTGGTTTAGGCGACTGGCTCTCACGTGGCTGACCATGCGGTTCAAGTCCCAGACCTGGCAGTTTGTGAAGTGCTGGGTATGTGAGCATATGTGGCCACATCCCAGCAGGCTGGAGAAACAGGAGGGAGTGTGGCCTGACCATGCCCGCATCCCCGCCGGAGGGCGCCTTCCCCTCCCTCCCTCTCAAGCACACTCGCCTTCTGGCAGTTACATTTTCTTTTCTTTGTTTTTTTTTTTTTTTGTTGTTCAAGAAGAGCATAAGAATACTCCAACTTTTGCAAGTATGCATTTTTTATAAGACCTCCCACATGATGGTATAAACTTTTGAATCCCAGCCCTTTTTCTCCTCAAATTAGTATGGCAGTCAGTGATAGGACAGGTGCTAACTTGATTTTCAGTTTTTGTTCCATAACCTTTTGTGTGTGTGGTCTGTATTCGGTTAGAATTTCTGTTCTATCCAAAACACAGGCCGGGATGTGCCCAGGTCCAAATGTCTGCTTTGCCCGGGTGTGCAGGGACGCCGGCATGTGACCGTGACAGAGGCCGCAGGGGTAGGGCTTACCCCCAGTGCCCTCTCCCCAGTACCAGTCCGAGCCCAAGTCGAGCTTGACGTGCAGCTTCCTTCAGGAACCGTCCCTAACAGTCAGTCTTTGTGTGAGGACGCTGTTCCTGTTCCACCTACACCCCTGCATTCCATCCAGGGGTTGGGGAAGTGGAGGGGCCATCCCATCGCTTTAAGGGTACAGCTTAGAGATGGCGAGTAAGCACTGTCTCTGTCTTCTGTTTTTGTTTTTACAGTTCCGTAAAACCAGACTAGACCCTGTACTGAAGGCTCCTCTCGTTCTAGTTCTGCTTAGCTTATAATTTTTGCCAATTTCCCTTGCTTTGGTGTTTAATACTTTCTCTTCTTAGTCTTTTTTGTTGTTCAATGAGTAACTGTCAGAAGGCGCATGAAGGCCGCTGACCAGAACTATTATTTTAGCTTGGAGGCACCTTATGCTTCAGTGTTCCTCCTTTCACAGGCAAGGAGACCAGTCTCCAGCAGGCCGGTCCCCAGGTGACATGGCCTGGGCTCTCTGTCACTCCTGCTGAGAAGACTGGCTGAAGGAAGGGCCAGCTGGGCGGGGGGCTGGGTGTGCTCCCCCAGCCTGCCCTGCGCCCCCCTTCTGTAGCCTTGCTCTGCTGCCTGACCAGGCTGCACGTGTGGCTCCGGGCCGGCCGTGGCTCCTGAAGGCAGAGGGCCAGAGCCCAGGATTGGCTTCCTCCAGCTCGGGTGGAACCCCAGCCCTAGACAACAGGATGATGGGGGAACTGAGAAGGGAGGAAGAGACAGTGGCCTTCGTCCTGAGACAGTCGCTGTGCGCAGAGGGGGAGAGCAGACCCGGGGCGTGGGGTGCAGACGGGCTGCGTGCTCCTCTGCAGCAGGGCCGACTGTGTTAGGAAAGGGGGTGCATGGCTGTTAGGGTCCTCTCCGAGTGCTGCTCTCTGAGAAACCCGAGCTGAGCCGCGTTCTCCAGGTCACTGGGAACCCTGGAGCGGTCTCGAGGGTAGTGTGAGAATCAGGGACACCCGTGAGCTCTGGTCAGGAATTGGGAGTGCAGATGGTGGCGCCGGCCAGGGCAAGGTTTTGCTTGCCTGGTTCACTGGAGGCGGTCGGAGGCTGACTCTCCTGTTTACTGCCAGCCATGACTGAGAGGTTGGTGTATGAAATAGTCACCAGTGGGAGCAGACCAAGCACCTGGATCCGGACCAAACCGCTTCTACAGAATACAGAACTACTGAGAGCAAGTGAGGGTGTCACTTGTCTGACGTTCCCCTCAGCCAGCTGTTCCGAGAGAGCAAGAGCTGTCAGCACTGTGGCCTAGAGACAGCGACTGTGGCCGAGGCAAGAGCAGACCAGAAAGCGAGCCCAGGGAGCGACGGGCAGGCTGATGGCAGACACCCGGGCCTCCCAGGCTGCCCTCCATTCACCGTCCCGGGCCTGCAGCCCTCTGCAGACGCGACTGTCCCAGTAGCTCATTCCCTCCTGACTGCAGCCAGACCTTCAGCAACCCTTCCCCGGCTGCGTCCAGGTGTGGTGTGGGCAGAACTGAGGGACTGAGGACAAAAGGGACGCCAGGCTAGTCACTGGCCGGGATGTTGGCCCCCTGGGGTGCAGGCCTTGAAGGGGCGTAGGGCCGCGCAGGCTGGTGGACAGAACCTTTGTGGCTGAGCCAGGTCTCCATTCAACAGCTTCCTCTTACTTTAGTGTAAAGTCCTTTGTAGTTAGGACACTGGCGTGTCAGGATGCCGAGACTGGATAAAAGCTGAGTCCCGTCGGTTAGGGTGGGGGCCCACACGTGACAGGGCGACAGCCGGGGTCTCACAGCGACCCACAGTAAGCTGGGCCGCTCGCCATCCTTCGATGATGCCCAACGCCTGGGCTTCCCAACCACCCAATACAACGCTTCCTTTAAAGATGTGTGTTGGGGGGCCAGCAGGGGAGTAGTTAAAATGATGGCTCCCATGTGGCTGACTTGTGGTTTGCGTCCTGGACTTGGGAGGCACGTGTGTGTGCGCACGCCCAAAATCCTGAGAGGAGAGTGGGCAGCGCCGCAGTGGAAGAGACCGCATCTGTGGAATAAAACTTGCAGCGCCAAAGCACCGGCACTGGAGAAGTGGAGTTAGGAGTGGGGCGGGGCTTCAGTGGAGTCGGGCTTAGCGATTTGGGAGTGTGGTACTCTGGATTTCAGTCCACCACTATCCCCATTTCTTGCAATGAATCACCCTAAAGGGCTGGGAGTCAAGTGTTAGCCTCATTTTCCTTCAGGGCACATGAGCTGGCCAGAGACAGGGAAATGAGAAATCAGCCCTGAGCAGGGATGGCCCCCGGGCACCCCCTTCTCCTGGCATTTCAGGCACACGTGCACCCCACCAGCATGTTTTCCAAGCCACCAGGTACAGCACTTGAAACAGGTTGTTGGCCATATGGGATCCAGCCGCCTTGGGCATCTGGCTGGCCCAGAATCAACTCTTCTGAAGATGGCTTGGACTTGAGCAGCCTCCCTTCTAGACTGTCCTTGGCTCCGGGGTGAGACCCCTGTATACTTGTCTGTGCCGTCCCGGGAACAGAAGTGGGGGGTGCAGCAGCTTTCTCCCCCTTCTGAGCGGTTGGTGGTGCCAGGACTGCACCTCCGCCACGCCATGGCTGACTGCCCTCCTTGGCTCCCGAACAGAGAGGGAAAGTGCCTCCTGGACTGTCAGTGCTGGCCTCCCCAAACCCGACATAGAGGCCCATTTTTGTGGGCCAGATCTGACGTTCCTTAGTGATGCACACTGGCCTTCACCGGCTTGACACACAGCCAACCCCTCTCTAGGTTGGGTCTTCACACCCAGTGCACCTTGGAACCCCGGGGGGCTAGTTGAATCATGTTGGACCTCCCCTGGATTTTCTTTTAGAGATTTTTGCCACAGGGCATGTGTGCTTGCTGGAGAGACAAAGTGAGAAATCACAACCCATGGGGGATGGCCACGCCACAGTCCCATCTCGGGATTTTGGGCACACACACGCTTAGTGTGAACACTGAGCCTCGGTCCAGGACTCAGACCGCAGTTAGCCATGTGGGCGTCCAGCACCTTCACCACTGGGCCACCTGCCAGCCCATTCCCTGGGATTTTTAATTCAAGGCAGAATCTGATAACCTGCATGTCTGACAAGTTCCCAGGTGACTCCAAGGCTGCGGTCCGGGGCCACACTTTGAGAACCGCCGGTCTAGTTCAGCATCTCTCTCAGACCCTCCTGGACAAAGCTGGCTCTGAATGAGCACACGTCCCCAGGCGCCTGGGGCCCCAGGTCCCCAGAGCGGTAACTCGGCTGACACTCGGGACAAGTGCTTGGTAAAATAAAGACCGAGACGCCGGAATCTTGTTAGCTGGATATATTTTTTTCCTTTTTTTTGTCACAGAACACTGTTTGCAGTAGAGGGAACTGGCATTGCAGTCTGGCAGTAATGGCTTGTTCACAGAGACCAGTACATGTTCGTCCTTTAGCGCAAAAAGCCCTAATGGCGCGTACCCTATCGGAATTCACACATCTCCCGTATTCTCTCTCTGTTTTTCTTTGTCATCTTTTTTTAATAAACATTCTCAAGGTCTGTCCAGAAGGCCGTCGAGGTTCCTGGCTGGCAGAAGGCAGCTCAGGACAGCTGCTGCACCCGGGCTGTCGCCTTCTCCAGGCTGGCAGTTGATACCGTATTTTTTTTCCAACTCATTTTTATTAAAAAAATAAAAAAATGCTCCAACTATCAGTTTTACAAAATCTCTAAGGGAAACACAAGAGCAAGGTGCTGAGGTAAAAAACACCTGAGGTAGCTTTTTTTTTGTGTGTTTTCTCGTTAAAAAAATCTGTAAATTTAACGCCCTGGGCCAACAACCTTGTATAAATTGCTATTTTCCTCCTTTTTTTTTTTTAAAAAGAAAGAAATCATTCCATTGACTATTGATGGCTTATATACCAAAATGTAAAAAGACAAAATACATTCTTCCTTTGTGGAATTTTTGTTGGGTGGGCTGGTTTGGTGGGTTCCTGTTTTCCTCTCCCAAACGCTAGGACAAGTACCATTGACTCTTGTTCTTTTGAGTAACAAGTTTAAGTTGAGGCTGGTTCATGTGTTTCGCTTTTGTTCCTTCTGTGTGATGTGATGCTCAGAGCACTGCTTTGCCTGGGGGGTGGGGGGTGCGTGGATACAGGGGTGGAGACAGGGACCAGGTATTCAGAAGAACGGGGATGGAGAAGAAGAAGGGGGACAGGGATGGGGAAGAGAGAAACAGAGAGAGACAGAATTATATAGCAGTATGCAAAAAACCAGTTTAAAACCTGTGAAGCAGAGAGTGGGCGTGTGAGCTGGACAGGGATGGAGAGAGGCGGTCTCCTCTCCAGGAGACGGTATCCCTTCTGTTGACATACACAGGTGACCCAGAACTGCTGAGTGTCCTTCTAACGCGATCTCCCCAAGGGTAGACTCTGTGTGGGGGCCGCGAACCTCCTTTCTACACCATGAGACCTCCCAAAGAAAGACTTAAAGTCTAGAACAGCCTGCTTTCTCTTAAAAAAAAAAAAAATTAATAGTTGCGTAACAATTGGAGTTAGTTGGGTTACTGGGTATAGTCTTTCTAAAATATATTAACGCCGCAGGCACCTGTGTCATGCACGGGCCACACGTCTTCCCCGTCTACTATGTACACACATGTACAGACTTGCCACAAAGAAAACAGTGAATTTTGCTTTGAACACATTCACCTATGTTAGTTCAACTAAAAGGGATAGCGTCGTGGGAGTCAGGAGAGGTCGATGGATGGTGGAGTGGGTGGCTAGGAAGCCTGCAGATGCCCTGGGACTCGGGAGGCGGCGGTGGGTGGGCAGCCTGCGGTTCTGGGGAGACCGGGCTGACGTTCCCACCGCCCTGAGCCCCGAGGGTTCCTGGGGCCTCCGCAGACGCCTCGCTCCTCAGGATGGTCTTTGGTTTGCTCCGGGTCTGGCGGCTGTTTGGTCCCGTCCGTCGGTGTTGGAAGGGCTACATTCATCGTGCACGGCGGCCTGCGGGCCCTCACTTGCTGCGCTGCGAGGCCGCTCCCTGAGGGTACCGCTGCTCCTGCTGCTTCACCTGCTGCACGATCTCCCTGATCTTGCGCTGCGCAGTCTGCAGAAGGGAGACCGGGAGGGGAGGAGCCCATTTCTGAGCACAGCAGGAAAGGCTCACTGACCCCCAGCCCCCTGGTGCGGGGCCTCTTCTGCCTGAAAGTAAGTCCCCCGATCTACGCCAGGGCTGCTAGGGCAGGGGACGGGGTGGAGGTGGGACCCAGCGGGCCAGGAACAAGGAGGGAGGAGGGAGCCGTGGCTGGAGGGCCTGGCCCTGGTCAGGCAGCACCCACTTCTCGAAGCTCACCGTTCAGCTCCAGCATACCCCACCCACTTTTCTGGAGAGGCTGGTGGGACTTGGGTGTGGCAGCTGGGAAGACAGACCGTAAGTGCACAAGGAGGGAGGAGAAACTGGGCCCAGAGCCTCTCCCAGCACTCCCACTGCAGGGAGCACCCGCTGACGGACTCCTGCGGGACCCAGCAACGTGTCAGACATCCCCGGACATTGAGGAGCTGGGCTGAGCGTGCAGAGATGGGAGTGGCTGCAGGAGACCCAGGGAGCAGTCGGTCTCCAGGCCCACGCCCGGGCCCTGTGAGGGCAGGCTGTGGTAGACAGACCTCCTGGGGTTGTGCTCTTCCTAAACCCAACAGCAAATGCACTGGAGAGGGCCAGCCCTGTGGCCTGGTGCCGAGTGAGCTGGATCCCACAGGCCCGACTGCTGTTCAAATCCTGGCCCTGGCAGCTTAAGAGACATGCCAGGCACATATGCATGCCCAGTTCCCAACAGGATGGAGGACGGGGACTGCAGCGCCCACACGCTGTGGGAGGCTCTCTGCCGAGCTCTCTGAGCACGCGTGCCTTCTAGCAAGAACAGGCCCAGCAGGCGCGTGATGAGGGGCGGATGTGTTCCAGTCCCAGATGGGCAGACTTGAAAATCACACTGGGCATGCATAGCCCCAAACCCTGAGAGGGTAGAGACGGGTCTACAGTGTGGCCAGGCCCGGGTGTGTGTGGCTTCTCACTGTCCCTCTCTGTCTCTGGTGAGTGCAGGTGGCCGATAGCAAAAGCCTTTACAAAAGAAAACAAAAGCTTCGGAGAGAGCGAGGCCAGACTGCCGAGGCACTGGCCTGTGAACAGGGGCAGCTGAGCGGAGGGAGGTGCTGTGGAGGAGAGAGCAGAGAAAAGGGCCCCTTGCACCGAACACGTGACCTCTGCGTGAATCTAGGTGCCAGGCTCTGCTGCCTCCATCTGGATCCGGAGGTGAGCCTGCCTGGGTGTGGGTCCCAGCAGAGAAGGGCCGTGATGGGCCTGGGGAGAGGGCACCCCGGTTTCGGGCCTGAGGCCTGCCAGGCTTCGATGGAGACTCTGGTCTGTACCCTGTGCTCTTCCCCAAGCTCCTCTGGTGCGCCCTGGGGGACAGTAGTGGTGACAAGGTGTGGACCTTCCCCACCCTCACCCCCCATGGCACGCCCTAACTGAGCAGGTAGAACCAGGAGAGGTTCCATGGGGTGTGGGGGTGTTCAGGCCACAAACAGCTTAAGCCAAGAACTGAAAAGAGGCTGACTGGAAGGAGAGGGGCCCTCAGTACAGGCACCCACCTGGCTAGCAAAGAAATGCCCGATAATTCTGACAATCACTTCCTCGTTTTCATCTGGCGTTTGGTCACGAGGCACGATGACTTCCGCACTGGTTAAGTTCTGCAGCTCATTCACCTGCAGAGGGAGAAAAGGCGGTGGGCTTGGTGGGTCCCTCCCCTGCCAATGGAGTGGGCTGAAGGGAGAGAGGGAGAAGTGGAGGAGGGGAGAGGCTGGTGACGTTCTGCCCACCTTCAGCCTGGGGCACCCCTGCCCCTACTCACCTTGGCCCAGTTAGTCTGGGTGCCCATGAGCCAATACCTCTTATCTCTTCCTGTCTGACTCACCAGGGTGACCTACCTTCTCATCAGGACTCTTTTAAAGGTTTTTGCCATAGGGTGTGTGAACTCATCAGAGAGAGACAGAGAAACCGCGAGAGGGAAAGAGGGAAAGGGAGAAAGCATCCCCCCCAGGGGGTATGGTCACGCCACAGTCCCTTCTCCATTCTCTTCCTGGGACTGGGTGCACACACACGTGGCATGGATTTCAAACTGCCAGGTCCAGGACTGCGGGTTGGCCACGTGGGAGTCCAGCGCCTTAACCACCACACCACTCCTCAGTTCTGCCCCCGCCAGTCTGGCCCTCTGATTGCTGTCCTTTCCCCCTTCCACTTGCAGAGCTCCCGCCACACCCTCTCCATGCAGCCTGTCCTTCCTGCCTCCCTGCACCCTCCCTATCCAGACCGTGCAGGCCTGCTGCTAAGGCTCGAGGCGGGCTCCGTGGGAGCCAGCAGTCTCCGGGCTGCTGGCTCAGGGACCGGCTCCCTAATGACCAAGAGGACAGGCAAGGCTCAGGGGTCCCCTCCCTGTGGCCCATCTGCCTTCCACGTGAGCTGGAGCCGTGAGCCCCACTCGCAGGGACAGGCGAGGTGCGTCTATGCTACTTCGTCTTCTACATAAAGGTGCTCTAAAGCCAGTCTTCTGTAAGGGGTTCTGCATAAGCTAGGGCCGGCAGGTGGTGTGCTGGTTAGGGGTGCTGGGATCCCACATGGCTGATCGTGGTTCAAGTCCCGGACCTGGCGGCTTGCTTTCTCACCTTCTCTTTGCTTCATGCTCTCTCTCTCAGGTCAAATTAAAATAAATAAATGGATGCAGTTAAAGTAATTCTTTAAAAAGAGAGAGAGAGAGAGAGAGATCCTATGTAGAGAACTTTACGACCACAACAAAAGGACCCGTGTGCACTCCCTGAGGACCCTGAAGAGCCCCCAGCTCCCAGCCACCCTGCTCTGCCACTGCTGATACGCACGAGGCCCTACCGGACCCTCTCAGCCATCGTCTCCTCTCTAACGGGGAAGCTGTTCTAGAACAGCCTGGCCTGACTGGCCAGCATTCGTTCCTGTAGGCCTCGGAGTGAATGCCCCTGCATTTTCCAGCTATGCGGCGTTAGCCACCGCCAGGCAGAAAACGCAGGTCATTTTTAAAAGCAAAGTCCTTCTAGCCTGCACCCTACTGCAACCCAGCTCCCCTCGAGCCAATGGCCAGGCCTGGGAAATAGCCAGAAGATGGATCTACAGGAAGGAGCGGGAGGCCTCCACAGGCCTCTGCCCAGAGGGGTGGGAGAGTAGGGGAGAGCAGAGGAGTCCAGACCTGAAATCAGAGAAAACCATGGTCTCCGGGGTAGCAGGTACTGGGGGACTCTGCTCCTGTTTACTGGCTGCTCCGTCTTCAGGAGTGTGGACGTCCACCCCCTGGCACGAGGCTCAGGAGGAGGTCACTGGGCACAGGAGCCGGGTGTCCGCGCAGGGCTCAGCACCAGGGGCTTGGGGCCCGAGGCCCGAGTGCTGCGGATGTATTCTGTCCTGAGCCTCGTGCCCTGAGGGCTGAGACGGGGGAGCCAGGCCGTGCATGGGGGAGAGCTAAGGGGGTGTGAGGGACGCAGACAGGAGGCCCCACCCCGCAGAGGCGGCGAGCCTGCAGCGAACTTACTGTTTTTCCCCCTTTGCCGATCACCCGGCCGGCAGTAGAGGAAGGCACTCTGATGTGGGCTTCCAGCTTCACTTCTTCTTTGGGGTTAAAGAAGTTTTCCTCTTTCAGTTTCCCAAAGATCCGTCCCTGGGCCTGCAAGAGCAAGGTGTGACAGCAGACACTCAGTCAGCTGCACCAGCCCGTGCACGGGGACCGGGTCCCGCGACCGGGCACTCAGCCCCACGCTCACGCCAGCCTCGGCTTCTGGGCGAGGTGCGGCCCCTGCTGTGGAGGCAGGCTGACTTGTGCTCAGAAGTGAGCCAGCTCTGCTCTTCAATTCCGGAGGGCGTGTGCACTCGCCAGGAAGAGAAGAGGGAGAAAGCGCCCCTCACGGGGCATGGCACACCAGATCCCTTCTCCATCTCCGCATCCTGTCGGGTGGGGCAGACACGCATGCACACGTGCCTGGGGCTGGGTTCTGAACTGTTCGGCCAGCCATGTGGGGTCTGGCTCGCTCAGCCACTAAGCTTTGGGGCTGGCCCAGTTTTAAGGATTGCAATTTCGTAAATAACCGTGTGTTTCTGACTTTTAGAAAACTCAAGTCCTAGTTTTCTTTTTAAATTTGCTAGAGGGTGTGTGTCCTCACCAGAGAGAGACAGAAGCGGGGGAGGTGAGAAAGCACCCCCGACAGGGACTGGTCACACTGCAGTCCCTTCTCCATTCTCCTCTCAGGAGGTGGGACACACACACACGCCTGGTGTTTTTCAAGCCACCAAGTCCTGACTCGAACTGCACAGTGGGCCATGTGGGATCCAGCCACCTCACCCACCATGCCACTGGCTGACCCATCATGTTTGTTTTCTTTTTTTTTTTGGGGGGGGGGGGGAGAGGTTTTCGCTATAGGGCATGTGCGCTCACCAGAAAGGCAGAGAGAGACAGAGAGACAGAGACAGAAAGCGAGAAATCACCCCCCCTTCTCCATTCTCCTCTCAGGAGGTGGGACACACACACACGCCCGGCATGAGTTCAAGCTGCTGGGTCTGGGACTTGAACCGCGGTCAACTATGTGGAAGTCCAGTGACATAGGTCCCATGTTCTTTTTTTCTTTCTTTCTTTTTTTTTTTTTTTGGAGAGGTTTTTTTCCTATAGGGTGCGTGCGCTTGCCAGACAGACAGAGAGACAGAGAGACAGAGACAGAAAGCGAGAAATCACCCCCCAGGGGAGATGGCCACGCTGCAATCCCTTCTCCTCCATTCTCCTCTCGGGATCTTGGGCAAGCACGCACATGTGCCCAGCATGAGTGCAAGCCACCGGGTCCGGGACTTGAACCGCAGTCGACTATGTGGGAGTCCAGCGACATAGCCATTATGCTAACTGCTGGTCCCCTATGTTCGTTTTCTTAAGGGAAGGGAAAAAGGCAAGATGGAAACAAAAACAATGCCCCTCACCAAAGAACTTCCAGCAAATCCTGTGGTTTCCCCTCGGGCCCCACGTCAGTGCCCCGTAAGGACGACTGACTGAATCTGAGACATCCGCTCTCCAAATCGCGGCTAAGGACCAGCTACAGCGGAGGAGGTGCCAGAAGCGGGCAGCGGCAGCCATCTGCTTTTTCACGGAAGCGGGTGCCCAGAGAACAGCCTGGGTGGAGGCGGGTGAGTCGGAGGCTGATGGGCAGGCACGGAGAGGGGCGGGCGCCCTTCCGGGGACACCGCAGACCCGCGCCTTCAGGGAACACGGCAGACCTGCTCCGGCCACAGGCTGCAGGGCTGCGGGGCCCCCGGCACTGACCTTGAACTGGGCCTCAGGGGGTCCGGTGATGATGACCATCCTCTCACTGACGTCTGGTCCTTCCGCAGGAGCAATCTGAGGGTTGCAAGGGAAGGAAAACACCGAGGCTGGGAGTGGACGGCCGCTCGCCTGCGGTTTGAGGGCTTCTGCCTCGGCCCCCAGTGCTCCGCCCGGCACCATGCCCCGTGCGGCACCACCCTGGCCAAGACTGTGCGCCCAGTATCAAATGGGGGTTCCCGGCCACCCAGGGAGAGTCAGGCTGGTCAGTAGTCCCTCCCGTCCCTGCCCCGGGCACCAACCGTGACCGACCTCTCACGGAGCCGAGTCTTAGGAAATAAACAGGGAGCTGACAGCTCTTGGAAGAGGGAGGTGCGGATCCTGGCAGCCACCCAGGGCCAGAGGGCAGGAAGGGCTAGCCTGCAGAGCAGGTGCCAGTTCTCAGCCGCATGGCAGCTGGTCACAAGTGACAACCCAGGCACAGCAGGCGTAGCCCAGACCACCGCCATGGCGCTGGAGCAGGAGCGAGGACACACTGGCTCTATCCTGGCTCCACAAATCCCTCTCCTGCTCCTCACCTGTGAAAGGTGGAAGCGGAACTCACGGATTCAAAACCACCTTCTAACTCACCTTCTGTATGGCTCAGTTCTTTGGTAACAAACTCAAGCAATGGACCAAAGCATGTTTTTTAGAGAGACACTATTACATATTTCAAGATTTCTTTAACAATAAATACAATATTAAAATTTAATTAGGGGGGTCTGCAAGTGGTGTGGTGGACAGAGGCGCTGGATTCCCACATGGCCATCCATGGTTCGAGTCCCAGACCTGGCACCTGGCAGCTTACTTTCTCGCCAACCACCCCCCCATCTGTCTGGTCAAGTTTAAAAAATAGTAAAAATAAATGGAATTAAATAAATTCTTAAAAATTAATTAGGAAATTGTAGCAAAATTAAGGTTAAAAGTGAAATTGTCGGGAACCAGCAGTTAGCGTAATGGCTATGTCGCTGGACTCCCACATAGTCGACTGCGGTTCGAATCCCGGACCCGGTGGCTTAAAACTCACGCCGGGCGCCTGTGCGTGTGTGCCCAAGATCCTGAGAGGAGAATGGAGGAGAAGGGATTACGGCGTGACCATCCTCTCTGGGGGGGGATTTCTCGCTTTCTGTCTCTGTCTCTGTCTGTCTGTCTGTCTGGCGAGCGCACGCGCCCTATAGTGAAAAATCTCTCCAAAAAAAAAAAAAAAAAAGGGAAATTGTCAAAAGTGCACCAGATATTTATGAATGTGAGGATGGGCCAGGGGTGAGGTTCGTACACAAATGCATCTCAGAGCACCTGCACACCTGCCTCAGGTGGGCCGCAGACCGGCTCCAAGCTTCCCAAGACCAAATTCAAAAGAGGAACTCGGACGATCGCAGGGTCACAGTATTCCCCAGGCAGAGCCAGGGCACAGAGGGCCATGGAGGCAGGCGGGCCCTGTGCATACATGGAATCCCCGGGCTCCTTCACTCCGCAGGACTCGGGTTTCTTCTCAGCACATGCGCCGCACCCATGGGCCTCGGGTCCAGCACGTCATGGCTCAGGTCAAGGCATGCTCCGGGAGGACGCCCTCTTTACAAGCGCCGAAGAACTCTCTGCCCCTGGTCACTGCAGTGCGAGCACAGACGTGCAACACCGGCCCGACGCCCAGGCCCCTGGGAGGCCTCCCTCTGCTGTGGGTCAGCCAGCCTGGACACAGGCCTCAGGCGTCTGCAGGGCCCAGACCTTACAGTGGTCACACTCACAGGCTGGCCTTACTGGGAGGTCCCAGTCCTCACTGTGAAGGAGAGCCCGGGTCATGGCTGTGTGGTTTCCAGCTCCACCCCTCAGGTAGAGGGGCTGAAAGGCGAGTCACAGGGGCCACGTCAGGTCCACGTCGCTGTCCACCTCTTAGCGACTCCTGCTGCTTCGTTCGAATTCTGAAAGGCCTGAGCGCTCCCCTGCCCGGGATCCACCAGCCCTGACAGGAGGCGAGTTTGCGGCACTCCAGTGGTTTCGGAGCGGCACGCCATGGCACTCCCCGGTCAGGGCAGAACAAGGGCTTCGTCTGACTGGAGCAAATGGGACCAGAGGCGACTCGGCTGCCGAGCTCACGGGAGCAGCAGAGGAGCGAGATGAGGGAGCAGGGGCCCTGGCTGGCCTGCGGGCTGCCTGCTGGGGGCGTCCCGGCCACTGCTGACCAGAAGCTCTGCCCAGTGGGGTGCAGACTCACCCGTGAGCCCAGCTCCCCTGGGGGTGTTGCCCAGAGAGTCACCTCACTCTGCCCCGCAGCCTCCAGTGAGCCCTACAACCTGGCACAGCTGAAACGGGGGGTCCCTGGAGTTAGCAAGGAGATCCATCTTGCTTTCGAGACCCTCCAAGATAAAAGGAACCAGTGGAGCAGAAGCCAGGTTGATCTTAAAAGTAGGTCTTTTCTTCCCCAAAAGTCTGGCCTCCTCCTCTAACGCTATGGAGAAGGGGAGGAAGGAGGCTGTTGTTGGCCCGGCATAAAAAGCACCGTCTGGACACCCCTGGGCTGTGGAGCCCATTCTGTCCAGGTGCCCGGCTGCCTTTGCCCCTCACAGAGGCCATGGGCATCGTGGCACGTCGCCACCAACCGTGCTGGGAGCCGGACTGTGGGGTGCTGTGGGGTGTGAAGCCCAAGGGACTGATTATAGGCCCTGCTGGGAAAGACTGGCAGGGCGGTTGGCGTGGACCAGAGACAGGAAAGGCTGGGCCAATCCTGGCATGCACCCTTCAGCTCTGGGCCCTGAACGAGCCCAGCAGCTCTGGCCTGCTTCCTCCCAGGCGGGGCCATTGCGAGTTACTGTGGCAGCAAGCCCAGGGGTGCTGAATGCTAGGAGGGTGGCAGACTTGACACCCAGAGCCTGCCCATCCTGCCCTCGCGGGCCTGCCCACGGCCCTCTGTAGGGTTCGGTAAGAGTGGGCCTCCCTTCCCTCCTAGCGGGCTGGGCTGGTTCTACCTGTGTGGCACAGCCAGGCCACAGGGTGACCCTCAGGGTGCAGCCAGCCCAGCTTTCCCAGGGCGAGGCCAGCACCTGCCCACCAGAGCCTGGGCCGACCCCGCCTGCGCACACCTGCTGGGGGCAAAGGCCTAGGCCTCTCATCTAGTCTGTCCTTGCAGGTGAGGGAAGGGAGGCCCGAGAGGGAGATGCACCCAAGTACAATCCCTCCAGGTCTCACCGCCGTCCGTGCTCTGGCCTCCTCAGAGGTTTCGTTTTCCTTCTCAGCACACTTGCTGCGGGAGAGGTTCCAGCTCTCCTGGGGGAGAGTGTAAGCATTCTTTCTCTCCGAGTCATGAGACTTCTTGTTCGGAATTCCGGGTTGTCCCATGGTAGCGCATTGCTTTACGTAACAACGGAAACTCTGTTTCCGAAAGCGTTTCCTGGGGCTTGGGACGTGCCCAGCATTCTGTCCTGAGTCGGAGCCGAGCTGATAGCCGGGCTGGGAGCAGGCCAGGCCCGAATAATCCTTCCCTTTCAGCCTCCGCCTGGGGCAGGATGTGCCTAATGGCAGCCACGTCTGCTCGGCCGTTCCCCTCAGCCAGGGCCTGCCTTCCTGAGCCCCTTGCTCATCCCAGGCCTTCCATCAGGTGATGCCACCGGCTTTTGTGTATCTACGATTAACCATCACTTTCCAGAGAGCTTCTTCATTCCAATTATTTTCTCAAAGTGCAAGGGTTCTGAAGCAGAGACTAACTGAAGCATCGGAGCACTGGTGACCGCGGAGTGCGAATCGCTGCTGCTCTCAGCGACGGAAACCCCTGCTGCTTTACCTTTTATTTTCTTTCTTTGTTGGGACATGCACATTTGTGCGAGAGAGAGAGAACACCCCCCAGTGCGAGCCAGCAACCCCCTGTCTACCTCGCCCCCGCTGGGTTTGGGGCCGGCATGCACATGTGCCCAGAGTGTTCAAGCTGCCAGGCTGGAATTCGAACCAGTCTGCCGCGTGGAATCCGGCTCCGTAACCACCAGGTCTTGGGGCAAGCCCAGCTTTATCTTTTCGAGAAGAGGAAAATCCAGTGAAAAATGGAAATCCAAAGAGGACCGCAGTGGGTTGTTTTTGCTAGAGGGTGTGTGCGCTTGCCAGAGAGAGCGAGCAAGAGACACAAGAGACAAGGGAGCAGGAGCGCCAGCCACGCTGCGGTCCCTTCCCTTCCATGCTCCTCTCAAGATTCAGGGCACGCATGCACATGTGCCTCATGTGGTTTTCAAGCCACTGGGTCAGGGACTCGAACCATGCAGTCAGGCATGTGGGATCCAGTGGCCTTAACCACATGCCACCAGCTGCCTCATTTAAAATTTTTAAAAAATAACTCATTGAACAGGAAAGGAATAAGAGAAGCAAAGGCGAGAGCGGGTATGGACAGTCCTGGAGGCAGATCGTCCACACCCTGTGGGATTCTCTGGCTGCTGTGAGAGTGGCTGGTCTGATAAAGGAACGGGGCCAAGAGGGCGTGGAGGTGGAGCGGGCCACGCGCGGGCGGGAGCGGCTTACCTTGATGGAGGCCCCCGCAAACCTGGCCAGCTGCCTGATGTGCGCCCCCTTCTTCCCGATAATGGCGCCTACCGCCTGCGTTGGGATGAACAGGTTCACGACCTCCTGCTCCGGGTACTGGAGGGCAAGGCAAGACAGAGGAGGTTGTTCCAGACGGTTTCCCGTTAGCATGCAGCAGAGGCCGGTGCCCGCTGAGCCCTGGGCGGGCAAGCCCTCTGCCTGGGGAAAAGGCATGTGGGGTTCTCCTGGGGCCCGGGGCTCTGCAGGTGTGCAGGCTGAGGAAGGGGCCTGCGGCAGGCTGTGCCACGGGACGACAAGTGCAGATCACTCTGCAGCAGCTACACTTGCTGGGGACAAAAGGCTGTCTGCTCATAGCTTCCTGTAAGAAGAGTGTGTCGCTCTCCGGGCCCTCGTGCAAGAAATTAAGTGACAAGCGTGCTGGGACTGAGGAGGGCATCTCAACAGGTGACTAAGGCTGCCCTGGCCAGGCCCAACCGCCCCCAGCAAGACCAGTCCTCGCCTGACGCCCGGGGGACCAGCAGAGCCTCCCCAGGCTGCTGGGGCTGGGTGTGTGGCCACTCGGTCATCAAGGACGAGCAGGGGCCACAGAGGGAGAGGCACAGAGGGAGAGGGGGCGGGCAGGGGCACTTACGGAGTGATGGTGCGGGAACGGGCCAAAGTGGTGGTGCGGGTATAGGCTGGAGAAGTATCCGGAGTGGGTCTGCAGCACGAGAGAAGCAGCCTAAGTGGGGCCCGTCGTCGGGACAGTCACATGCTCCTAGACCGCTGTTCACGTGCACAGGTGCTCTGCGCCACCAGGTCACACTCCTGGCCTGTGTCCCAGCCCTCGGCCCACACTCCCCCGCACCACCGCCAGCCTGGCCGATGTCACCTGGCTGGGGGCTCCCGGTGCTGAGTGGCTACCGTTTCTGGCTGGGCCACGCCTAGGCGTCCCGAGCCTTCCCGAGGGAGGAGCACCCGCACACACGCAGACGCCACACTCTCTCCTTAAACCTGCCCGGGACAGGGGCCGGGCCGGGACACCTGCTTTCCAGGAGTCAGTGGCTGCGGACTGAAGGGACAGTGCTGGGACAGTACCCGCGTACTCGGGGTATGCCGCTCTCCCGAGAACACCACCAGTCCGCGCCATCAGGAATTTCAGAAGGAACGAGAGTCTGAATGGGAAACTGGAAGAGACTGAGCGAGGGGACGAGATGTATAAATCCACGAGAGAGTGGGAGACGGGGGACGTGGAAACGGAGGATGGACGCAGAGAGAAGAAAACAGCTATCAAAAAGCACTCGCATTTTTTCTTTATGCCAGAGAGCAGGGGGACGAGCGAGCAGAGGAGGGAGCACCCCAGTGGCCCAGGCATGCTGCTGTCCTCTTGCCTCTGGTTCTCCTCCCCGTTAGGGCCTGGGTGCAGGCCTGTGCCCAAGTCGCCAGGGCCAGGACTTGAACCCATGCCAGCACTGTGGGTTCCAGCTTTCTCTGTTCAGCAGCTTAATTGCTATGCCACAGACTGGCCCAAGAGTAGCTACTTCTTATAGTATGTCTACTGTATACTAGGTAGATACTTTATAGCTCTTTTAAAATTTCTTTTTTAGATTTTTTTTTTTTTGCTATAGGGCGCGTGTGCTCATCAGACACACAGAGACATAGAGATAGAAAGCGAGAAATCACCCCCCAGGGGGGATGGTCACGCGGCAATCCCTTCTCCTCCACTCTCCTCTTGGGATCTTGGGCACACGCACACGCGCCCGGCATGAGTTCTAAGCCACCACGTGAGTTTTAACCGCGGTCGACTACGTGGGAGTCCAGTGACATAGCCATTACGCCAACTGCTGGTTTCCAGCTCTTTTAAATTTTTATTGTATTAAAAAAAATTTTGCTATAGGGCAAGTGTGCTCACCAGACAGAGAAAGCACTGCCACCTTCCCTCCTGCCCCCCACCCCAGGGAGACAGCCAGCACTGCAGTCCCTTCTCCATTCCCTCAGGATCTGGGGCACAGACATGCCTGGGATGTTTTTCAAGCCATTGGGTCCAGGACCTGACCCCAACCGTGCAGGTGGCTGGGTGGAATCCAGCAGCCTGAACCACCACAGCACTGACGGCCCTACGGCTCTTTCAACATTTGTAATAGTCCTACAAGACAAGACTCTATCTGACTTCACATACTCCTTTTAAAAAATTCTTTACTTAACTCCATTTATTATTATTATTAAATTTGCTACAGGACACGTGCAGTCGCCAGAGAGGCAGAATGAGAATGTGAGAAAGCAAGACACCAACCAGGCGTGGGACTCGAACTGCCATCAGCACCTTAACCACCATGCCACCTGCTGGCCCCAGGGTTTTACATATTCTTATGGATAGGACGCTGCCCAGAGTTGGCCGACTAGTTAACTATGTGTTATGTGAGGTCGGGTAACACTGACATCGCAGTGACAGAAGGGAGGTGATGGTCTGGGCACCGTGGAGCCGCTCCCTGCAGGCCGCCAGCACGATGGCCCTGTGGGATGACACTCCCAACGGCAGTCAGACACTGCTGAGCCGGGAGTCGGGACCCACGAGGGCCCACGGGCATCCGCCACGCCGATCGCACGTCCTGTGCCTGCTTGGTCTCCAGGCAGACTCAGTTCAAGGCTGTGACTTTGCCGCTTGTCTCGTTAGGGACAAAATCAAACAGTTGCCCTATCTGAGCGTGCAGGGCGAGAAGGCAAAGGTGCGAGCACTGGGAGGAGCGGCCCCAGAACTGCGGGGGCGCGGGGAGGCCGGCCACCTGGGGGCTGGCTCTGCACAGGCCCCAGGTCTGAGCAGGGCATCTGAGGCTGCAGTAACACCTCGGGCCCACAAGAGGGTGCTGCCAGACCAGTGGTCTCAGCAGCCGCCGGTGGTGGTGAGGGCGGCGGGAGGTGAGCCGCGGCTTGGTCTCTGGCTCTTCTTGGAGGATTCCCTGGGAAAGGCAATGGCTCCAGACTCTCTGAGTGAAGGCCCCTGTCCTGAACCATGGAGGGCAGGGGAAACCGGGCCACCAGCCCCCTCTCTCTGCAGAGCCTCTCAGCCCTTGCAGTGGAAGGCATTCTTTTGAACGGTGATTTGCCTTTTTCTTACAAAACTCCCCAGCCGCCAGCGTCGCCCTCTTCTGGACCACGGACTTCTAACTTCAGCACGGCACGGTATTCAGACCCAGCAGCAGCCGCAACACCCCTTCCGTGTGGGAGTCCCCTGGAGAGCCGGCAGAGGGCAGAGCCCACGCAGCGGCGTGCCCCCTCCTCGCCCAGGCTCCTGGGCCCGCGTGGTTGGTTCTGGAGCCAGCCCCCCATGCGAGCCCCGTCTCCGAGCCGAGCTACACCTCTAGGCGGTACCCTGGGAGGGCTCCCGCGTCGCCCCTCGCCGACCGCCTGCAGGCACCGTTCTGGGTGCCGGGACAGTCTCAGCGCCTGCTGGGCAGGCGGATGTGAGAGCGCTCCAGGCCCACTGCGAGAAGGGACGAGATGGCGTGAGGACCGGAGGAGAGGAGGCTGATGGCGGCGGCAGCCAAGTGCGCCGGGAAGGTGCGGGGCTCCGTGCGAGGCCCGGGGAGAACGTGGAAGGAGGCTTCTCGGGGGTCCAGAGCAGGGCAAGGGGTGGTCTATACGGGCAAGGAAGGGCACGGCCGGGGGAGCAGGGACGGGCACACCCGAGGGCCTGGGGCCAAGCGCAGTGTGGACTTGATCTCGGGCATCGCATGAGCAATCCGTGAGAGTTTGGGAGCACTTACTGCCCCCGGGGCTGCAAGCTCTGGGAGCACCTACTGCCCCGGGGCTGCGGGCCTTGTTGGGACAGTAAGTGTTCCAATAAGGCGGGCTCAGGGAGCACTTACTATCCCCGGGGCTGCGGGCTCAGGGAGCACTTACTGTCCCCGGGCTGCGGGCCTTGTTGGAGCACTTACTGTCCCCAAGCTGCGGGCCTTGTCGGAGCAGTTTGCTATCCCCATCCCCAGCTCCTGTGGCGCCTGCAGCCTCCAAAGGAAGGAAGAGCCTTGCCCATCATGGCTAGAGGGACCCAGCCAGGGCCTGAAGCACCTTTCTAGCGTGTGTCACCTGAGGTTGGGGCCAACACCCCAAGGGGTCGGTGCTCACTGGGGAAACCCCCACGGCAGCTGGGCACACTGCCCCCATTATTACATTTGATAAGGAAGAAGCCTTTTCTTCTTCTAGAGAGATTTTTGCTATAGGGCCCATGTGCTCACCAGAGAGACAGAAAGCAAGAAATTAGCCCCTGGAGGGATGGAGAAGGAATTACAGCATGGCCATCCTCCCACGAGGATTCCTTTCTCACTTTCCCTCTTCTCTGTCTCTCTCTGGCAAGCACATGTCCCCTTTAGCATAATGAAAACAAAAAATAAAACCAAAAACCAAAAACAACTTATAAATGAGGAATGACAAAATCATAACTGGAGAACAAACTGCTCTCAAAAGTTAGTAAGCCAGAGGCCAGCAGATGGTGTAATGGTTATGTCACCGGATTGCCACACAGTCTACCTGGGTTGGAGTCCAGACCCAGGACACGTGCGCACGCCCAAAATTCCGAGAAAGGAGAAGAAAGGATTGCAGTGTGGCCGTCCCCCAGGGGGGTGAGTTCTCCCTTTTTGTCTCTCTGTCTCTCTGCAAAGCGTGCACACCCAATAGCAAAAATCTCTCTCAAGAAGATAAACAAAAGTTACTAAGTCGTATAAACAAAAATGGCACAGAGGATGAGAGTCACCAGTTCGAAGCCTGATTTGAGAGCCGCTGACCCACCTCCGTGCCTGTCAGAGAACACACATCTCTTCAGATCCCATGCCTAAGTATTGAGCATGCACTGAATGAAGCCACGGAATTAAAAAAAAAAACCGATACATTATATGAGCTCTAAAGAATATAGGAAATCACTACAAGGTTAAAAAAAAATAAAAAAGAAAATCCCTAACTACTTAAAACATTTTAAAATAGAAAAATTCCTAGCAAATCTTACTAAGGAAAGAAAAAGGAGAACTACAAATATGTAAAGAAAAAAAGGAAAACTACAAATGCGTGATGTTAGAAATGAAAAGATCAGTATAACCACAAATCTGGAGCTCTCAGAGGTCAGCGGTCTGTTCTGGAAAGCTCTATGCCAATCCATACGAAAAAATAGATGAAATGGACACTTTTATAGGAAAATCTGTATCAATAAAACAGTAAGAAATTGAATGATCTTTCTCCAAACAAAATGTTTAATGGAGGGTTTTTATCATATCTTCAAGATACAGGAATACCCACACATGGTTTAACTGTACCAAGCATAATACAAGTTGCCAATTTCCCCATTCCTTCTTTGAGGAAAAAATAACCTTGCTGTTAAAATGGTCAAAGACAGCCCATACTACAGTAATTGCTGTGTAGACAGAGATGAATGAAATGAACAGTCATAAAGAGGAATTTTGTGTCCGACAAAGTCACCATTTCAGGTTGAATGACATAATGGTGAATTAGTCAATAAATGATTTTGGGAAAATTGGCTATCAATTGGGGAAAAAATAGAGTTAGATCATAGCTCAAAGTAGAAGTCAAGAGAAATTCCTTAGGAAATACAGATGTAAACAGCTTCTCCAAATCAACAACTTAAAATTAGTACAGAAAAATGTGTCCGACAAAGTCACCATTTCAGGTTGAATGACATAATGGTGAATTAGTCAATAAATGATTTTGGGAAAA